TGTGGGAAGTAGAATTGGGTAAAGGGGGGATAAATGGTGAAGGAAGGAGACTTGACTTGGGGCGGTGAACACACAATATGCAGATGATGTGCTATAAAATTGTATACCTTAGCCCTGGTGGCTTTGGTTCAGTGGTAAGAGCGTTGACCTGCAGACCGAAGGGTTTCGGGTTCGATTCCTAGTCAAGGGCACATACCTCCGTTGTAGGTTTGATCCCTGCTCAGGGAGCATGCGGGAGGCAACCAATCAATGTCTCTCTCTCACATCAATGTTTCTCTCTCTCTTTCTCTCTCCCCCTCCCTCCTCTCTTCCACTCTCTCTAAAATTCAATGAAAAAAATATCCTCAGGTGAAGATAAAAAAAAATTGTATACCTTAAAAATAGTGCTTTCAGGAATAAGTACTGATAGTGGGGAAGGGCACGTAATAAGAATAGAGCCACAGTTGTTTAATAATCATCCACCTTACTAACTATAGATAAGAAGTTTCCTTACAGACCCTGGGGAACTGGAGGGTGAGACAAGGCTGTAAAAAGATAAGATGCCTCGATCGACCCATTATTCAGGAAAGAGACACATTTTGAGGACAGACCAAGGATAGGATACGCTTTGATCTGGTTGCTGGGCCCGGATCCTGACCCCCTCCAGGAGTTTGCCTCAGGAACACTGATCATTCTTCAGTTCAACGGGCTGAGCTGTTTGTACGAAGATCAGCCACCTGGTTACCGGACTTGGAGCCCCTGAAGCGACTGCAGGCCCTGCCCTCCCCTTTCCCTGGTACACTTGTAGCTCGAGGCTGCCTGTGGCTATCATCTCCCTCCCTGGAACATAACCAGCCAACTGGCGAGGGGGTCAGAGCAGAATTCCCAGGGTGACCCACTGCTCTGCCATTTTGTGGCAATAATGGAATAAACGCTCACATGTGATTCAACCCTGTCTCTGCTTAATTTGGCTCAAGTAGTGACAGGTGGCCTTGGACCCATTGTGTCCAGTATCGTATTAATTAAATATTCAGTAGTGTTTAAGACATTTTGCNACCTCGGACCCCTTGTGTTCGGTTTCAGTACTTCTTAGGAAGTATCACTCTAAGCTTCAAAAGAGTTGTAATAAGCTTCATGTGGACTTCAGAAAAAATATACAACCATGATTATCATTAGCATTTAATCAATAGATATCCTGAATGATAGTCTTACTATTAACCACACCCAGATTAAGTAAACTACAACAAACCATACTCAAATCTAAATTTGAGTATTTTGCATTACATAAAATAACTAAATCTATTCAAATACATTTTGGACACTACATAGAGGATGTTACTTGTTTTACTGCATTCAGAAATGGTGATAGAAGAACTCAGAGGTTCACAAAGCAATGAATTTACCTATAGATTGTTTTCTTAATACTTCAATTATTGTAACAAAGTTTTACCGTAAACATATTTGATGGTAAAAAAGTTTATAAAGTAATATATAGGTTAACTTCTTCTGCTTGTGCACTGATAACATTATGTGTGTATCGATATATCTGTGTGTGTGTGTGTATCACACAATGATTTTAAAAGTCATCATTCAGCCATATTATTTTAGAATTCTGATAGGACAGGGTGTAAATATCCTAAAATGTAGGAGGATGCAAATTTATTTTCTAAAATTAGAGACTTTTACCATGCAATACTTGCTGTCATTTTTTTTTCTTTTCCCTGGATTTAAAGTAACATAAACGATCTCAAATCAATTATTCACATTCTAATTAGTATGTGAAGCAGTATGCTATTTTTTCATACCAGGTTTCCAAAAAGAAGAGAGATGCAACAGATAAGACATTTGCATGGTTCTATTTTGAAGACAGGAGCTGAATTTCACTTTAGGACTCAGTTTTCTGATCTATGAAAATAGTTTGAGGGTAAAATGCTTTATTTATTTCTCAAGTATCCCATTAAGTATTTATTACAATAATTCCATATAATGATTCAATGTTTTCTAAATTAAATCCTTTGAAATTTTATATATATATAATCATTCCCTTTTGCACTGTCAGTTTAATATCATGTATTCAGATTCTACAGACACATGATTCAAACATGACAAATGTACACAACTATTTTAAATATATAACTGAAGAATTATATCTAGAAAAAATTGAAATGTTAAATTTATATTAGGTGTATTTATATCAGAACTCCAAAAGAACAAACTCTTATTGCATCAAAAAGGAATTGTGGCTTTTCTCCTTTATATAACAAAGTTACAAAATAGTCTCATTCAATAGTGTTATGTGCTACTTCTAAACAGCTCTATTAAGACAAAAATATATATTAAAATATTTTACTCTTAGAATAAAAGAGTAAGAACCACAGCTGAAGTATTATACAATTTAGTGAGAGTGAGTTAAATCAGCTAATGATATCCAAATCCATAGTCCCATATAAACTGAGTCTCAGTGAGTGAAAGTAATTAATATCATTGATGAAGAGGTCAATTTGAAACTATTCTGAGCACTAAATTTGGAAAAAAAAAAAAAAATACTGTAAGAGTAGCTTTGTGTTTTAAGAAAAATAAATAAATTTATCTTATGGATATGTGAGTTTAATAGTTATACAGATGAAAACAATAAGTATATGTAAAATGAAAGTTTAGGGGATGTGTATTGCTGAGTATAAAAAAGAAATTATGTATAACCAGAGTTTGTAGTTTCATGCTTCACAACTCATTAATAAAGAAGGCAAACATAAACTCATCTAGGAAACTGTTACTTAAATGGCCAAAGTTCCAGGGCACAGAGGTAGTGACCAATTGATTTTAGGGAGAAAGACTCTGTTATGTGATGTGAAGGCAATTCTGACTTGTCTAACAACCTGCTGATGGAAGAATGAATGAACATCAATTTATACATACTGCCCAGCTCATGTGAAAAACTACTCAAACCTCAAAAAAGTCATTCAAATTTGATAGCAAAATGTAAAAGAAGACAAAATAAATCAGGTTTAGAAAGTACATATACACACTAATTTAGATATTTTTAAGTGACGCAAATGTAATTTAACTTGAATGTGTAAATATTGGAGAAAACAAACCAGTGAATCAAAAAGTAGTGTCTAGATAAAAGCAAATAAATTAGTGTTTTAGTAAAAGCCAGCCCAGTATTAATCAGAATAGTGTCCAGTGGGCGTGAGCACCTAATCAGCCAGCAGAGCCATGAGGAAGAAGGCCTGTCTTCTCATATCCAGTCACCTGTCCAGTCCCTCAGGGTCAATCGGGCTCCTGGGAGATGAGTGACCATAGTGGGAGAGGAAGGACACTTTTTGACTATGTGACAGAAATTTTTTTCTGCAAACCCTTTAGATTTTGGAAGATTAACATCATATTTGAACCAATTTAAATTGAACTAAACTATGCAGAAACTATGAAGTGATTCTCCCTTTACCCTGTGAATTATTACAGCACATATACTACAACACAGTATCCAATTCAGATTTCCATAACCACACTGAGGGTTGTGGAAGACAGCCACAGAGATTGTTAAGGGTTGAAAAGTAATACCTATTAGAAAGATGGAACATTATATAGGTTTTCAAGACTAAATGAGCTTGAAAAAGAAGAATTTGAAGGATCTAAGTTTGCTAAAAGGACGATTCTGACACTGTTGTTTGTTAAACATTAAGGTGGTTTGCGGAGACTGCGGAAACTCCAATCCTGAGGATCTTTAAAAATAGGAAAGATTCCTACCAGCTGCTAAGGACTGAATGTGAGCTTTATAACCCTATGAATGTAATTGTAAATGCCAATACGAGCAGTATATTCCATCTAAAACTTCTGATTCAGTACCACACAGCAGTTGGGGGGAGGGGGGGCTGACTGCTACGACCCACTTTTCACAGACCATAGAAGCATGTAAGGCAATACTTTGTCAAAATTAGGAGTCCTAGTGATATCTTTGGGTACTTGCACTTTCTGATTCCAGATTTTTCAGGCAAATCACCTAGAGCATTTAATCAAAGGTTATAATAATATATTACAGTTTTGAGTAAGTCAGGCTAATGAAGCGTTAAACTACGATAGAAAGTACCAAAAAATAAATAAAAATCAGGCGACTTAAGTTTTCCTTCTTTATATCATAAAGACTTAAAATACTTGTTTTTACATTAAACTAGAAAAATTGTGCTTTAAGTTTAGACATTTAATCACTAATAATCTAAAGCTCTTAAAAATACATCATGGCACACATATATGTTCTCTTGAAATACACCTGAATCCTCAAAACATTAGTCTATATAGAGTTACGTACTAAGGAATTAACTAATAATATACTGAAGTCATAGATCCTGGTCAAAATTATTTTACAAAAAATACTAGAATCAATCAAATAGTAAACCAAATCGAAGAGTTTACTGAATTAAATAGCAGTCACTCCAACTGCATGTGAGTACATTTGTAAACGACAACAAACTATCCAAGTCATATTTCCACAAAGAACGCCTGGGCTTTCCTTAGAGAGCCTACAGAGTTAAGCATTCGATTTAACCAAGTCTCCACATTCAATGCCTTTCCCCTTGCCACTAAGTACCCTGACGCAAAATATTTAAAAGTTTATTTTCTTTAAAGTAACAGCAGCATTAGTAAACGAGTCCCAGCTGCTGACTTCACGAAGCGCGGTCGTAGGGCGCCTCTGAAACTTTCCACCCGGCCCCAACCGGCAGGTCCGCGCCTGGGTACAGCGCGCAGGGCGCCCCTACAGCCCCCCAGGCAGCTGCACTCGGCGCCCAGTGGCACCCACAGCCCTATAAATGCTGGTGGCTGCGTTGAAGACACAATGTAAACACACAAGCCTCGCTGTGCAGCAGCCGATACATTGTATAGCCAGACACGATGTACCCGTAGGTTACGGTAGTTATCCCCTACCCACTCAGTGTGCCAGGAGCATTCCTTTTTGCTTAGGTGGGGTTTGAACTCGAGTGTGTGCGGTGTGTGCGCGCCAGGAGCGCGCGGGTGTGCGCAGTTACCGGAGAGGGAGATCCGTTCCTGCGGAGGGGCCCTCGGAAGACTCCTTTAATGCCCCGGTAGTGCCCATTGCTGAGATGTCTCGAACTGATGACCAGGTAACAAGCCATGTGGGTCCGGGCGGGAGGCGCAGAGTCTCAACTTCTCACCAGGCGACCAGCCTTGGGAATGCGGCTCGGTTCTCAGCAGCGACGGGGACCGCCACCTCCCGAGGAGAAGCGGCGGGCAGTGGGCAGGGGCCGCGGCGGACGCGCGTCCCGGCTCCTCGCCCCGCGTGGGGCTCCCGCTGCCGGTAACTGCTGCTCTGGCGGCGGCGGCAGCCACGGAGCGCTTAGGGGACCCGGCGAACCAGTCCACATGCTGCTCTGACGACGTGGCTGCTCCACCGCGGGCCGGCGAGAAATATTTTTAAGGACAACTTCCT